CGCCCAGCGCTAGGGTTCCCGCGGCCGCCACGGCGCCCAGGACGGTGACGAGCAGTACGGCGTCGGGGCGCGATCCCCCGTCGAGCGCCATGGCCCGAAAGAGGAGGATCGCGTCGCCGCTGGATCCACAGTCGTGATACGCCGCGATCATCAGCGTCCAGGAGAAGAGATTCTTCCGCGCCAGGCGATCAAAGACTGCGCGCGCCTCGCCGACGCTGCCGCAGCGCGCGTACATCTGGATGAGGAGATTCGCCAGGAAGGTGTCGCCGATGAAGCCACCGGCGAGGATCCGCGCGTGGATCGCCCTGCCCGCGATCGCGTCCCCGCATTGCCGCAGGGACGAGACGATGGAGTTCCGCGACATTAGCAAGCATATCCTTATTTGAAATAAAACTTAGGGTTTTAGGAGAGCATATTCTTATTTGAATTTAAATTTTTAAAAATTAGGGCTTGAGGGGTGCCTTTATGTCGTCCCACTGTTTGAGTACCTCTAGCAAAACCAAGGCCGCCGAGTCCTTTGCTTTCTTCATGCTGGGCATCGCCTGGCCTTCGCATTCGTCAGTCCATCCGCGCTCCCTCGTATTTACACGCACTGTGTAAGTAAATCTCTTGGCATGCGCCGGTCCACTCTCGCTCAGCAGCCTGTCAAAGCACGAACCAAAGTTCCAAAATCTCGTCAGAGAAATCGATCTAATCCAAAGAGGAAGGAAATCGATAAGGAGGGAAGAGTGAAGAGCTTCACAGTACCTGTACTGCGGCATTGGCCACTGCCGCTGTAAGCAAATGTCGTTGAGCGTCTGCCTTGTGAAAGCGTTGGCCTTGTCGTTCTCCATCTTGGTCACCTTGTTGCTCTCTTCCTCAAGCGAGTCCCTCTCCTTGAGCGCCGCCAACGCGTTCCTTGCAGCCAGCTTTTGCGCCATCTTCTTCTGTGTGTTCTGTGCGCAGCCAATCTGGACGCCATCCACGAACACCTCCACTGTCGCAATGCTTCCTTCTCTCGAGGCCCGGTATTCCAGTCCCTCGGCTTGCTGCTGGCATCTCTCTTGGAGTTCTCTCACGGGATGAACCGGCAAGGTGTCTGGAGTTACCATTGGCTCGAGCAAGCGCTCGAAGACCTGGAAGACAATGCTAGTTTTCAAGCGAGCACCAGAGAATTGTAAACGAGCTTACCTTCCAGACTTCATCAGCGGCCAGACCAGTGTCGAGAAATATTGCACCGGCTATAGATTCTAGAATGTCCCCTAGGACTTTCGGAGCTTTGAAATCACCAATCCCGAAAGAGTTGATGCCAGGCTTGTCGAGCTCGGACTGTATGTCTTTCACAAAATCTTTGATCTGCCAAAACAACAAAGAGCACATCGTCAACACTTAGTTTCCAAGCTTTTGTCAGCTCACCTGTGCCTCTAACGCTGACGATCCATGGCGCAAGTGGAGGTGAAAAGAGTGCTTCACGGATATCCTTGCGAAGTTTTCGTTGTTTACAGCTGCTGCGCGTAGATCAGTTAAACGTCCCGGTGGCAAATCCTGGTAGCGGAAGAAGAGATACCGAGTTATAAGATGATCTAGGACGGCGTCACCCACAAACTCCAGTCTCTGGTAGCACGGCACTCCAGCTGATGGCCGAGACGCGTGAGATATAGCTTCCACAAGTACGCTTTTCATCTGGAATTTGTATCCAATGGCAAGCTCCAATTTCTCGAAGTCGATGCTGTTCATCACCGAGTCGGGGACAGAGCAGCCAGCTCTTGCCGCATTAGCCTCAGCCTCGTCATAGTCGATTGGAATGTTGATCCAATTCATAAAATGAGCTGCTGCCTTCGTACCACCTTCGACGTAATAAACACCTATCAAGGCTTCCACCACATCAGCCAACGTTTTGCTTGATAAAACCCTGTAGGAGCTTGAATCCCATTCAGCCTCGCCATCTTCCAAGCTCGTTGAATCATCTAAAACTTCTTCCTCTCCACTGCTTTTGGTAGACCTCTCTTCATGCTCGTTAGCTTTGGGAACCTCTGCTGCTTCATTGTCTAAGTTGGCGTCCTTGAGATCTTCATCAAAGACAGGGGGAACTCCCGGAGCAGCCCAACGAGAAGGAGCAAATCTGTCCGACTGAATGTAGCTCTGCAAGCTCTTCGAAATAGCGAACTCGTAAAGTACCATGTTACTGACAGTTTGTTGTCGCATCCTTGTAAGTTGACCCTCGTGTTTTCTAGGATGCTTAATGAAGAGTCTCCTACTGACGACCCACTTCAAATATGCATCTCCAAGAAGCTCGGCTCGTTCGTAGGAGAATGTTTCTTGGCAAGATGCGGCCGTCAAAGCTTCCAAAACCTGAAAAACATTGTCAAGAATTGTCAAGTTTGAAACAAAAGTCGGTCACCTTCGCAGCTGGAATGGGAAAACCAATCTCGTGCTTCAGCTGCACTGCGAGTAAAATGCTCTCCACGCGTTTCATCACTGAAGGCAATCGCTGCGCTCCTCGAACCAGGCAACCTGGAAGAGGATGCACAAGGCAAATCTCAGGAGGTAACATGACGTAGTACGTTTTATCTGAGAGTTCCTCCGAGCCTACAGCAGACCAAGAGTCAGCTAAAAGCGACACTGTAAACGAAGAAAACGTACTCTCTAGTAGTTTAAACCGAGGCGAGAGAAGATTTTTGCAATGCGAAACCCCACGACAGCGAAGCATAGGCTGGTGTCGGCAATGTAGACGAACTCCATACCTGCACACGCAGTTAGTTTCTAAGCTTAGAACATTTCACTGCTTACTTCTGCTCGTAATAATCTGCATACGAGCTGTACTCCACCGACCCCAGGTAGCCTTCTTTGCGTGGAAATGGAGACTCGGCAGTCATCTCCCTCATCACGGATTCTACGTAGAACCGTTTCCCGGAATGAGCCGCAGTGACAAGTTTACCGTCCATTTCGTCCATATTAGCATAGCCATCGGCCAACAGCAACTGTCTTCCTTCAGGCTCCAGTTTTTCCCGTAAAGGAGCTATCCCAGAAGCCTTGATAACGTCAAACTCAGCCACAGCTCCCCGAATCCCATAAGTAGGATGCTTCTGAACCCCGTTGGATCGAAGTTTGCTGAAGCCGTATTCTCTTCTATCGCCACCCAAGGCTCTCTCGTTGGTTCCCAGGAAAACATCCGGCCTTGCTCTCTGAAGTGGACTTGACCATGCATGGGAACCAAGAACTTTGTTCATTAGAGCCCAATCGATCTGTTTTGTGCAGCTTGATGTTAATGGAACGAAGAGGTATGCTTTATTTGAATCCCAAGGTGTCGATGCAGGTTCCACATCCACGTCCAGAACGATACTCATAAGTCGAACGTGAAATGCCTTCAACAATGTGAGCTGCATCGAAGGAAGAAAATTGATGAGACTGGGAAGAGCTTTTGGCTCGTTACCTCTGACGATGTGATATGGTGAACTCCAGAAAAGACTAACGATGCTTGTGTAGTTAGTGTTCGTGCTACGAAAAGATCTACCGATGCCGTCAAAACCTGTACAAACGAGTTTTATGAATAAAACGACTTAAAACGTTGTTTCGTCTTACTTCTGGATCCATTTCCCTGCCGAAGAGGACCGCAAAATCAGAAGTTTGTGTTACAAGAGGATCAGTTGAAAATCCAACGTTCGAATATTGAATGATGTACATATATAGCGACGTAGAAAGCAAATAATTTGTGTTTAGGATCCAATCGCCCTGAAGTTACTAGCTAAAAACACAAAATATTTGAAAGCAAGAAAAGAACCTTCAAAAAATCTGCAATCCCCTCAGGAAAATACTCTCGATATCGAGCTGTTCCTGGAATGGGATCTGTAGTTTCGTTATCTTCGCCTTTGTCGGACTTGTCTGGTGTACCCGTGTCTGGCAAAAGCATATCTGTAAACGCTGCCATCTCGTGTAGCTTTTTGCATGCCTCCAAGCACACAGCCTTAAACAGGAAAACCGTTCACGTCATTTTTACAGCCAGCAACTTTCAAACGGATGCTTACCTGTTGTGCTCCCTTCATAGTTGAGCATACGGGCCCATCGAAAGACTCCACGGGAGCATTAGAAGGAAGCCGAAGCTTACAAGAAAAGTAAACGACATCTCCTGTCGAATGCTTTGTCAGAACGAATTCCGGTTTTAAAATCGAGTATCTACAAAAGAACGACGTTTTAAAAACTTGAACAAGACGTGTTTTGGAATACCTGTCACTTGGAAGCTGAGAGCAATAGAAGTGGATCAGTCCAACTGCTGAATTGAGTGTGACCATTGCCCCAGTTGAAGGAACTTGATACGTTTCTCCTTTCCCATCTTCTAGAGATGCGACTATTGCCGCTTCTGTCCAAGGATCGAGTTTCGTTCTTTCCGTGGCCTCCTTTCGTAATGTTTCCTCACTGTTCCGAGCATTACGAAGGAAACTTTGATGAACCTTATTTCCTCTGAAAGAAAAAAGAGAAGTAAGCAACAATGGAACAAACAAAAGTAACATACTTTTCAAGCATCAAAATGTAGTCTGATCCGGGCTTTCGAGCACGGCCACGAGATTGTATATAAGCCAGCACCGTTTTGGCAAGATCAAATCGAACAACTACATTGCACTGGCGAATATCCAGTCCTTCTTCCGCAACGCTCGTGGCAACCAAGACGTTAAGCTGTAAGCGTACACTGTAAACAGAAAAAAAACTAAAGCGAAACTTACACTTCCGTCACGAAACTTAGACAAACTGTCATGCATATGTCTGGTGGACACATCTTGAGAATTATTATGACCGACCAGACTTCCACTGCGCACATACTTCAGTGATGGCAACTCCGACAAAACCTACACAAGGCATGGTTGATATTTCGAGGAAAACCAATATCGCGCTATAAAGTGAAAACTTACGCAAGGTAGCGTCAGAGCAGCAACCACTCGATCTACAAAGATTATAGCACGGAAGTCCTCGACATGTTCGTATTTTCGAAGTATCTGGATCAAACTTTGAACCTTAGGCGTTACCTTTTTATCTGCAACAGCGGCCCCGAGAACCTCGTCAAAATGTTCTCCGCCTGAAAGAGCTGAAAAGACGAGAAATAGAAGTCATCCTTAATTTCGATGTCCAGTAGCAAATCAACTCACAGTTCGTATCAATTACTTCCCCTTCCTCGACATCTCCATGAACCGCTTCAAGCTTGCTGCTGCTCGCGGCACCTTGTTGGAGATCACATTTTAACATGTCTACAATTTTCGTCAAATACAACTCCTGGTACTTCACATCGGCCGTTCTTTCATCGTGTCGAAGATTCCCCAAGGACGAAGATGCAACCTGTAAGCAAGAGTCAGCTACCGTTACAGGACGAAAGACCATACCTTGTACGCGCACCATTGTCCAAGTTCATCCAAACAAAAAATGATAGATCTTAGTTTCTGCAGTAAGTTGGCAGCGCCGTCACTTTCCTTGCGCTCAGCGACCCCGTAAACAAAATGGAGCTCGTCGCTTGCTCCTGCGTCTCGGGCTCCCATAAACTGCCATTTGGTACGTTTGGAGCTCGCACTGCAAGCTTCCTCCACCTGTTCCTTCATCTGCTTGATCTTCTCACGAAGCGACCACAACACCGCGGCTTTGTCATATTCTACAACGGTTTCGGATGGCATAGGAACGTGTTTTTCTAGTTCCTTCCGATCACGAATGGTGCAAACCACGGAGTCCAGTTTAGTCTCTAGATTCCTGATTTTAACTGCGCAGTCCTCTTGATTTGAAACCCCTGGGCAGTAGGATAAGGATAACTTACGACTCAAGATAGACAAAGAATTAAGCCTCACCTTTCAAGTTCACTGGAGAGGCGGTCATGCCAAAGATTTTAGGCCTCTTCTCTTTTGGAGCCAGATGATAAAACTCCGACATAACGAGAGAGTACGGGTGTTTCTTAACAGCGTGATGGCACTCGTCCAGTATCAACAAATCTATATCCTCCATTCTCACAATGGAGTGCCTTAGTATGTTGAGCAAGATCTGGGCTGTCATTACGAGAACCTGTGGAAGGTCTTGAGCAGAAGCACGACAAAACAAGACACTATAAACCTCTTTGGACTGGAACTCTCGTTGCCATCTTTTAGAATCCCAGAAATCCTGAACCATTTCACCGCAATAGTGTCCCACATTGAAGTTTGTTCTCTCGCGAATAACTTCTGCTTGCTGGAGAAGCAAAAGAAAGCAAAGCACTTAGAAGCATCCTCAGGTTCCACAGAAACTTACCTGATACACAAGAGGCACTTTTGGGACGAGAAACACTGTAAGTATCTTGCGCTGCAGCAGCTCGGCCTTTCTCTTCATCAGAAGCACAGCGATGAGCGTCTTCCCAGCACCAGTCTCAAGAAAAGCAATCGTGTTTCCCTCCTCGGCCTGACTTAGAACTTCCAGCTGATAAGCTCTAGCTTGTTCCACGCAAACTTTTTCCTTGCCAGCTTTCCCAGCAGATCCATTCTGCGTGGACGGCTCCGTGACAGGACCAGCACCTCCTCTAGCAGCCGGCACACGTATCCCAAACTTGAGAACGTTCCTTCCATCGGCGTCCTTCTCAAGGTAAGCTCGTTTTTCTCGCCCCCCTTCTTCCTCTGGATCTCGCTCTCGTTCACGCTTGCAGCCGCCATGCCTTCTCCGTGTTTTATTCTCGTAGCACACCCTCTTAGCCGGCTTCCTTCTACGATCGAGAGGCTCCATGGTCCTGCAGTAGAACTAAGACAACTTTGGTGAAGATTTTAAGGGGAAAACTCACGAAATCTGTGAAGCAACGAGCCCTCCAGCTCCAGCTCGCCGATTTTTACATCAGAAGGAGCCGATCGCGTCCGGCCGCGACGCGATTGGCAGCTTCCGAGGTAAGAATCGGCACGATACCGGGCGGATCAAGAAACTCACCTACATTCGTCGCCGGCGCCCGAGCTCCCGGATCCACAGCCCTAGCAAAGAAAGAGGAGAGGAGCGTTTCAAACAAGGAGGGCTTTATGATAAACCCTAAATTATGTTTACCGATGCTCAACGGCAGAAGCAGCGCCAAGGAAGGTATGGCACTCCGCGGCGGCAGTACTTGCAGGTTAGAACATCGAGAATGTGGAGCGATTGGTTCTTGATCTCGTGTTTTCCAGGATCTTGTGACGCGATTCCAAGGAGGGAAGGGTAAGAGTCAGATTTGAGATAATGAGACTGTGGATATACATTGCGTGTCAGGCTCCAAGGAGCAAATCGTGGCTCACCTAGCGAATTTTGCGTATGATCCATTCAACTATGACTACTTTCGAGAGGTAAAGAGTGTGTTCTCTGGATCTCTCTTATTCTGTTTCTTGGACTTTGTTTGCAGCTCAATATTGTGGAGCTTTTCTTGGATTGCTTGACGGAACCGAACGAAAGATTGGTTGAGTTTGCGCTCGGTGGAATTTGCAACTGCTGCCCTGGTGAGCTGAGCTTCGTTTCTCTTTCTGCTTTGAAGGAAACCGAACAAGAAAGAGCGTGTTTGCGCAGACTCTCAAATCGCTTCGATGATCATTGCTTGCGAAGGCATTCCTTTGATCGTTGCATGCCTCTCAAGCCACGTAGAGAACACGGTGAAGTGACGAAACCGTTCTATTTCTGCGTTTTTTAATCCAATCCAGAACCAAAACAGGTCTTGTCTGCGATCGTTTCTCTATACTACCTCTGCACGCCTTCGACAGAAAAAGGTGAGCCTCAAATCCGAAACTTCCATCGGCTTAACGCAAGCTTCTTTCGTTTCTACCAGAGATCTTAACTCCTCCAGTTATCGAGATCATGAAAGCTTACGCAGCGCTGGAATGTGTCAATGTACGTTTCCGAAACGCTGCACAGGCCTTTCTTGACAGACACATCCAAGGCAAATCTCCAGAGCAATAACCTTCAACGATGCTAGTAAAAAAACGCTCAAGGTAAGCAAGCAAGTGACTCTTGGGTCTTGATACAAGCCCAGTTTTTGGCAGGTTTTTTATTTTCTTTGATGGAAGGTGTTGCGATCACAGTCAGCGATCATGATCATGGATTCCAGTTTCCAGCTACCAATTAAGTGCAAAACTTTCTCCAAACAATGCTTTCGGATTGATACTAGAGGTTGCAGTCGCTGAGAGACAATTGACAGAGATTTGGCAAGCTCAGCAGTAAGTCGGGGTTAAGCCAAGGAACTCTGGTGGTGAGGACAAGGCACAAGCAGTCAGGACTGAGGCTTGCCATGGATCGACAGCAGAAAGGCAAGGCTTCCCTGTAGTTGCTCGCGTTTGGAACCATCAGAGGCAAGCAAAACACAGCCACGGGAATAATCCTCTCGTTGGAACACGGTGCCCGATCGCTCACGGCCGCCACGGTGCGCTGTGAAGTTCCTTCCAAGCACGTAAACACGAGGATTAGAAACAGCGGCAGGACGAAGATCCAACCCGAAGATCTGAGCTCCATCCCCGAAGAAGAACTAAAGTTCCATAAGTTTTCCCTGGAAGCTGGGATCCATAAGTTTCCCCTGGAAGCTGGGAAACTTTTAAAGGAATCAATCCCGTCGCAAGCAACGGACGCATTGGCACGCCATACTTTTGGCGCGCGCGCGTGTTTCATTGAAGCGAAAGAGGTGGAGCATGATTTTAGAGTGACCTTGCTTAATAAGCGAGAGATTCCAACAATTTTTATATTTTTTTATATTTTTTGTTTCTTGCATATTTTAAATGGCCTGTGCTGCGAGGCGGCACTTTTGCTCGTGTGTCCGATCGGGTTGCTGGCCGCTGACAAATGTAGAGATGAGGCGCGCTTTAAAAAGAATTTGGCTGAGCGTGGTACCACTGACCAGGGCAGTGCAGGTGCCGCGGACAAAACAGCGTGGGGAAGATTTAGCGTTGTCACTAGATTTAGATGATCTATGTAGCACTGGCGGGTTAACAAGCTCATGCACGAGTTTACCCCCAGGTTTTGACCTCTGCCATCGCCTCGTGCGCAAGAACTCAACTCACTGGTAAAACTGCGAGCTTTACCCCAGTGAAATTCCACCCAGGAGGTTGGGGGTTCGAGTGTCCACAAGGGAGAGCTTTCCTGGCGAATATAACAAGAGGGATGGCAAAGGCAAGTACTACCTAAATTGATTCCAAATCATTAGCAAACTTGGTTCCTCCTTGGTACGCTCTCTTTGTCTTGCGTCATGTTGTTCGTCCGGATTCCTCGCGATTCCACGGGCATCTTCCATCCATAAGGATTCTTCGATTCCCCAGCGTCGCTTTCTTTTGCAAGTGGCAAGCCAGAAAACAAATGCCCCCCCCCATGTGCAAACCCTAGATTTATATATAAAAGGTTTGTAGCATATCTAATCGACTGTTCATCGCATGTTGCTCCAACAACATGGAGATTATTCGGATACGTATTACGGGCACATGTTTTATACGATATTTATTTGCGCCACAAAGATTTTAACGTTCCGCCACCCTAAAGACCCCTCACATGCGGACAAAGAGTACGAGTTAAACTTTTGCAGCCAGCAGCGTTGCATTGCAATGTTTGCATTTACCCTATAAAAAACCGGATCCGTGGATCTCCTCCGCGACATCAACAACAGAATCAGCGAATTAATTGAATATCAATGGCCGGGATTACGATTCATGATTCATGAATGCCAGAGATCATTGCCTGAAAGTTCATACGAGGAATATTCTGGAGATTCCAAAAATGCCCCGGATTCTTTTTCTTCTAGCTACTCCCACTTTAAACTCTCACTTCAAACTCCAGTGGGCTTTTGCTGGTTGATGTCACTCACATGCACTAAGCAACGGTTCGATTCGAACGTTTGAACGGTCAGATTTGCTTTTTGGTTGGGTGGCCAGCTATCCACCTTTAAAGTTGGTGGATGCCGGTGATAGCAGTTTGACCTAAAAAATCTGGCTAGCTAACGTAGAATAACTCTTCAGTCGCGTACAATACAATACAAGTGGATTGTAAACGCAATCTTATAGCTAAGTATTGTGACAATAGGAACAGATCGAACTGCTTCTTGACAATCATAGGATACATTTAGATACTTATCCATATTTATTAGCTCCGTTATCAATTGGTATTGTAAATTATATGCAGGTGCACATGATTGACGGATGCATGGTGTTTGTATTCTTGTGATCAGATCGCTGTGACATGCCAGTGATGGAAAACTTTAAAAAACATCAGGGTGAAATTGAAATGCCCCCTCTTCCCAGGCGCAGGCGATCGCTTGTAAGAAACCACACGGAAATCGCCCTGTCCTCCACAAACAAATGGCAGCCTTTCCCTGTGGGGGTGGGTCCCCACGCAGTGGAATATTCACCGCCGTCGGCATGGTAGATTCCCCGCCACCGCTGGCAAACAAGGAGTGTAGTCGACGCCATACGCTAATATAGCGCTACAATCTCTTTGTTCACATGGTCCGGTCGCCATCCACGATGAAAGATATACTGACCGATAACACGTGGACGGCCGCTAAATTTATCCAGCAGTCAAAAAGAATGTCAATATAGCTTGAGAACGACCCGGGGGATTAAGCTAAGCAAAGAATGTCTACGTAGAAGTTACGCATTGGAACTCCCTCCGGTTTCTTCCATTCCTCCATTCGTGGAGATGGACATCGGTTAGATCTCACGGGTGAAAGGTAAAACGGGGTGGATGGCATGCGGACCGTCCGATGCCCGCACTTTGCGGCAGTTTAATTCGAGCTTACGCAAAGCAGCTTTATTGTGTAGTGTTTCCGTTTTTGTCTTGGCTCTTTTTCGAATTAACGGAGTTCGTCCCTCCCGGCTATGGCGATAGCGATGGGGATCGCGGCAGTGGTGGCGTAGTCTCGCGGAGCTTCTTCGCGATTCTCGACGGTCCAGGCGTTCCAGATCTCTCGCGGCGCCGCCGAATTTCGATCGCGATCCGGGATATCGGGCGCTGTGGAAAACGGAGGGATTTCGCGACGGGGGAGCGCTTTCGTTCTTCCGTGGCTGTTACGGAAGATCAGCGAACGGCGTTGCGATCTCTCGGGGTGTGGTGTTTCCCGTAGGAAATCTTTGGCAGGTGGGGGCGCTAAATCACTCCAGGGTTTTGGATCGAGCTCGTTCTTGATCCAGGGAGGGAAAGGAGAATTTTTGGCGAGGTGGGGGTGTGGAATTCGAGGCGTGTCTCGTGAGTTTCTGGGGATCGGCTGAATTCTGCGAGGCGTGGGCAGGCAAATTTTGAGAAACAGCCAAGGCGGCTTTGTCGCAGAGCCAAGAGTGAGGAGAATTGACGACGACGAGGGAGAGAGCAAAGCTGCCACGGCACGAAAAAATTTCTCGCTCGTCTCGACTCTCCTCGTTGCTCTGTTCGCTCGTTCGTGCTACTTTGATCTCACATTTCTCTCTTCCCAGGCGACAATTCGATCTTTTCCCAAGCTCTCCAAATCCACCTTTTCTCACTGTTTCTTCCGCTAGCTGTGTAGGAGAAAAGGCTACGAACAGAGAAAAGCTCTCCTCGATTTCTTTCTTTTGCTCGGCGCCATAGTTTTCGAGCGTGCTCCAAAAGGTAGCCTTCTCGAAGACCACCAATTCCCTCAGCCTGGCTCTAGATCCGGCGAGTGGCGGTCGAGCATGGGAAAATTCTTGCGCAAGAGGAGAAGGGCCGACGTTGCAGTGCTCGAGGGGTGCCTGGGAGTGAGAACTCGCGCTACGAAGAGTGCCGCTTGCAAATCCGTGAGCTCCATGAAGAAAGAGGACGAGTCCGGTGGCCAGGAGGCATGGAATCCACGGCCGGATCAAGAGAATTCGCAGAAAGAAGAACTCCACGATCCTTGCGAGGAGCCAACGATGACGGTGGACAGCTCCTCTGTCCAGGAAAGTCGCAAAGCTATGGTGGTCGTCGAGGAAGAAGAAGAAGAAGAAGAAGAAGACGAAGAGCTTGGGCGGGCGAAGAGATCTAGCTCCAATTCCTCGCCACACTTGCGGGAGTCCCACAGCGATTCATGCCTGAGGAGCAGGATCGTTCCAATTGGCGTGGCTCATTCCCGGAGCAATTCGGCGTCTTTCTCGTACGACCAAGCAGCGACTTTGATGGATCATCCTCGAGTGGAAGAAGCGGCCGAGGCAATCGATCTTCGCAGCAGCTCGTTGGTGGACAACAGCACCCCGGAAGCGAGCACCACCATCACCACTAAAGAGGTGAGCTCTCTCTCTCTCTCTCTCTCTCTCTCTCTTGTTCTTGGAGTTTTTGTTTCGTGGTTCCTCTTCTCCGGTGATTTGCTTTGCTTTGTTTGCGTTGCTTTCTTTTCCTTGCGTTGCTTTCTTTCCTTGGTTTTTTTGACAAGGCCGGGAGAAACGAGCCAATTGATGAGCGAAGGCTTGCCTGTCAATTCGATCGTTTGTTTTTTTTCTCTCCTGATCGAGGCTGTGTATGTGTGTCTCACGGGAGCTTTAATTTCGCAGGTAGAGCCCTCCAGTTGCTGCGGTGACAACACCATTGTCTTATTTGCGAGGTATGCCACCAGCTCGTAAGTTCTATGTTTTTTTTTCGCTCGTAAACTTTTACTCGCGCTTGGTTCTTTCGGTTCTCAAAGTTTTCGCGGTGTTTTCTCGTCTTTTCTCTGTAGCCAAACTTCGAGCGTCTCTTGCCAAGATGGCGCTTCGGTACCGGCCAGTGTCGTGGAATTAAAGCCGCAGCCTTGTTCGTCCGGTTCCAGGCTTACGGCGAGGAGGCCACGCTCGGGTGCTGATTGCGGCCCAGCATGGCGTCACCGTGTGGCAGCCAGCGCCCCGACCCGCGACGAGATCGAGGAGTTCTTTGCGGGAGTGGAGGAGAAGGATGACAGCAGCAAGCGTTTTGTAGACAAGTAAGCTCGCCCCTCCTTTTCTGTTGCCTGGCTGCCGCTCTTACTTGGTTTTTTTTCTCTGGTGCTTACTTCGTTCTTTTCTGTTTACGTGCTCGGTTGTGCTTGACGTGCGTGCTTGCTCTCCGCAACGCAGGTACAATTTTGATGTTTTCAACGACGTTCCCCTGTCTGGTCGTTTCGAATGGGTACAGTTCCACCCTCGTTGCTCCTAAATTATTCGCACGCTACTCGCTACGATGCGGCTGTAAGAGGAAAACTGGAAAAAAAAGAAGAAACGAAAAGAGCAAAAAAAACCCGTCTTGTTAGACTAGAGAGAGAGAGAGAGAGAGCTCCTAGAGGAGACCATGTATTGATGCAATCATGTAACATACTAATGCCGTCATGATGTATAGAAAAAAGATGAGAAGCAAGGCAAGCAAGAAAAAGAGATGTCATACTCCTACCTTCATCCACCTTTGAGCCAGTGTACCTTAAAAAGAGTCGATTCCTTGCCATCGTTGTTTTGTTTTTCTTTTCCTCTTACAGCGGGATCAGCCTTTCCTTGAATCGGAAGCGTTGAATTCCTTACTTCACAGCGATGGTTGCGTGAAACTGTCCAGTTATAAGTCGGTCGGTCCGGGTACGTACATGACTCTGCCCCTGCCACCACTACTCCTGCCGCTGCCGCTGCTGCATGTACTGGTGTTTAAAGAGATCGCTTCCGAGGCCTTCCATTCCGAATTTTTACAAAGCGTTGAATCGCCTCCTAGCAAAAACACGCAACGGGGTCAAGGACGAGAAAGAGTGAAGCAAAGTTTACTTGAGTATTACTCGAGACCGGTGGCCATGGCGGTGCTGCTCTTTCCAGATTGGATGAACGAACAAGTAAAGTAGCTGGCCGCTGTGCCGCTGCTGGCTCCTGCTTTGCTCTCTCCCCCCTTGGACCTCTTTCCTTCTTTTGTATTTGAAGACACAAATGTATGTCTCCTGTCCGATCCGATCTGATCAACTGCTCCTTGTGAGTCGCGAGAAAAATACAAAACAAAAAGCATCTCAAACATCTTGTCGTGGCTGCTGAGCCGGGAGCGAAATTAAAAATCGGGAGCGGTGGTTCCTCTCCGCCTACAACAAGAGACGCATTTTCGGTTAGAAAAGCGAAAAACTGCGTCGTCAGTACCTGAGCTCTCGTGCGTGGCTCCCCTCCCCCCACTCTCCTGGCTTAGATTTACGTAAAGATTTCTCCTTTATCATCCCAATCTCGTGCTGTTGCATAGATGTTTGATAGCAACACCTTTCCAGCCAAACTGTCAGGATCCAGCTCCGCGACACGTTGGGCCGTACGCAGTGCCCGATCAGCGTCACCGTGGATCCTGCACGCCCCGAGCAGTGTCATCCAGTCCACTGAGCAAGGCTCGGGCAAGTTGGCGACGAGAATTTCAGCTTCGTCCAGGTTGCCTGCCCGGCCAAGCAGATCGATGACGCAGTTGTAGTGGTCCACCGTAAGTTCCATGGAGTAGTCCGCGGTGATGGAGCCAAAGCACTTGCAGCCATCCTCAAACAACCCGGCGTGGCTGCAAACGAAGAGCATGCTGACGAACGTGACATCGTTTGGCTGGATGCCATCCAGCTTCATCTGCATAAACACCTCGAGCGAGATCTCGTCGCGGCCGTGGTGTGAGTAAGTCGTGATCATGCTGTTCCAGGTAACCAGGTCTCTGCAGCGCATGCAGTCAAAGAGGCTTTCTGCGTCTTTCAGGCTCCCACATTTGCCATATAAGTTGATGAGCGAATTTTTGAGTCCCGTATCAGAGTCCAAGCCCCTAGAGACGATGCTCGCATGAACGGCCCTTCCCTGTTCCAGAGCCGTCAGGCTTGAACAAGCCTCAAGAACGCTCAAGAACGTGACCCTGTCAGACTTCATCCCTTCTGGCTCCAGTCTGAAATACAATTCTAGCGCTTCCCGGTGACAGGCATGAAGAACATATGCGGAGATCATGGCCGTGCAGGAAACAACGTCTCGTGGGTGTATCCTGTCAAAGATATCCCTGGCAGTGGAAAGCTGTCCACATTTGCCATACATGTTGACCAGAGCGGTGGCCACAAAACCCACGGACTCGAGTCCAGCAGCAACAATCTCAGCATGAATCTCCAAGCCCGCGGATAGCTGCCCCGTACTCGCACAGGCATCCAGCAGGGTGATAAATGTGATATCATTCGCCTTCACACCCTCTTCCTTCATCCCCTGGTAAAGTTGAAGCGCCTGTAAGCCATGCCCATGCTGGGTATGTGCACCTATGAGAGCACTCCAGGCGACTACATCCTTGCTCGCTAGCTTGTCAAACACAGCCTTTGCATCATCCAGGCTCCCGCACTGGCCGTACATCTTGACTAACGAGATTCCCACCGTCTGGACATCAATGCCGCAAGCAGCACTCCGGGCATGGACCGCTTTCCCCTCGCAAAGAAACCTGGCCGATGAAAATGCACCAAAGATGCTGTTGAAAGTGACTCCATCGGGCTTCACACCTTCGCAAGCCATCCACCTGAAAACCTGTAGAGCCTCGTGACTGTCCCCCTGTTCTGCATATCCGGCTATCAGAGCGTTCCAGGACAGTAAGTCGTTCCGGTCCATCTTGTTAAAGACGCTTCTTGCCCCAGTCAGACTTCCACACTTCCTGTACATGTTGACGAGCCCACTTGCTATCGAGTTGTCTATGTCGAATCCACCGGCGTGAAGCCTCTCATGCACCCGCATGCCTTGTCTGAGATCACCCAGGCAAGAGCAAGCGTCGATAAGGCTGACAAACACGATCTTGTCCGGCTTGATCCCCTCCTGTTCCATCCTCCAGTACAGTTCCAGAGCATCCAGACTTTCACCGTGCTGGACACATGCCGCGATCATGGCTGTCCACGAGACAACATCCTCTTTCTCCATTCTGCCGAAAACGCTCCGGGCATCGCCAAGGCTGCCACACTTCGCGTACATGTTCACAAGAGCAGTGTCGACAATGTGTGAGAGACTTGAGCTAGTAATACGAGAATGGATTCTCTTACCTTGAGCTAAGTCACCCACGCATGCACAAGCGTCGAGAGCACTCACGAGCGTAACTTCGGTTGGCTCAAACTCCATCCTCCAAAACAGCTCCAGCGCCTCACTTCCATACCCCTGCTGGGCGTAAGCACTGATCATCGCGTTCCACGAGACGTCGTTTCTCTTCTCCATCCCGTCAAAGACGCGCCGGGCATCCTCCAGGCCACTGCATTTACCATACATGGTGATTAGCGAGGTGCTCAAAACAACAGTAAGTTGACGTACTTCGGCAAGAACTCGCGAGTGAATCGTTCTCCCTTCACTCAGCTCTCCAATGCCCGAGCAAGCGCCCACCGCTCCAACAAACGTCACAACATTTGGCTTCACTCCTTCCAGATCCATCCTCTTGAAAATCTGGAGAGCTTTCACCGGCTGGGAATTGAAGACGTAAGCCGTGATCATGATATTCCACGAGAAAACGTTCTTGCAAGAGATTTTCTCGAAGACCTGGACCGCTTCCTGGACGCTCTGGCACCTGCTGTACATGTTTACCAGATGATTCGCGAGAAAAATATCGCCGCCCAGCCATCGCTGAGCGATCAGGCGATGGATCCGCCTCCCGATCGACAGCAGCCTACAGGATTGCAGCAGCGAGGCGTAGAGAGATTTGTCCGCCCCGGGTTCTTGCTCCAATCGAGCTACCTGAGATTCTAAACTCCTCTTGCGATCGTCTCCATCAAAATATCCACATCCAGAGCTAGGAATCGACGCATACGACGCGAAATGGCGCTTACCGGTTACCACATTGCCCTCCTTCCCTCGCCAGCGGCAGCGTCTCATCACATTGTGGAAAGAACCCTAAAACCCTGGACAAATAGAACTTTATGCTGTGGCGCATCGTGGCCGTTCAAATCCCAGCAATATGAGGGGACATCGCATTGCTGGGAATTGAGGCGAGCGCTAGGTCAAATATTTCGCGCGCGAGGCGGCGAATCCAGGCTCCCAGGGGGCGGACGGCAGCGAGCGATTTGCTGGATTCGAGCGTTTTCGGTCAAAGTCTTGTGATTCGGGAAGAATGTGTTGGATTTCGAGGTACTGATCGGCGAGAACAGTGAGGTAAGCGCTAGTTCTGAGGTTTTCTAGCGGCGCTGTTGCTTGCTCTGGATTTTTGAAACCCTGTTCCTTTAGCGTTCTTAGAATGTGGCTTTACTTTCATTTTGTTCTGAGAAGCTCGAGTCTTTTGCTTATCCACTTTCATAGAGTTTTTTTTTCGTGTCTCTGTGCTTTTCTCTTCCTTTGACAGTTTCAACCAGTATTTCTCTTCTGTTCGTATGATTCTAGATGTAACTTTCTCGTTTTTGGCGTGAGGGTCCACAATTCTCTGTGCTTTTATGTACTTGTCATCAAAGATCTAAGGTTTCTTGTTTCTTTCACAGGGGAGAATGGTAATACCAGTTAGTGCAAGGCCCAACATCTGGAACTCGACACTTCCGGCCCAGGAAACCGAGCTAGCTGATCAAGAAGTGGACAGAACCACAACACTCTTCTCTTATGACGAAGGCCAGTATTTGTCCGAGGACGAAGATGGCGCCAAGGAGCAGGCACGCAAAGACACCCTCAAGCTCCAAGAGGAAGCAATGCGGTGTGCTCAGTCACTAGAAGACACTGAGGGGCTGGAAGAGGTGGCCATGTTTAGCGACAAGATGCTCAGCTATGGCAGCGGATTCGGCTCCTTCAGATCAGCTCCAGGGGATCACTTTCTGGCATCCAGCAATGGAACTCAGGCGGACGAAGCCGAGGAAGAGCGGCTAGTTTCGGCGTCCAGTGCTACGTCTCCAGCATGGTACCGAGGGGATTTGTCGAGCCACTGTGGCCGGGGCTGCTGTGGAAGTCCGTGGCAGACGTATACACCGACGAGAAGCTTGCTCGGCGGCGTCGAGTACGTCGAAGAGGAGCTCCTCTCGGCGAAGAAGCCGTGGAGGGGCAGCAGCGCATCCCAAAGCTCGAGGGATCTGGTGAGTGCGAGCGCCGTCCAGAGTTTGCTGGTTGCAAAGCTCAAGCAGAGGAGCGGTATGGGCGGCGGCGGCGGCAGCAGCGACAGTGGCACCAGCGTCTCGAGCATCGTACAAGAGATTCTAGCGAGGGAGATTAGCGAGCAGACCGCAATAGTTCTGCAAGCTCTGGAGCAAGCGCAGCATTCAAGCTTCTAAAAGAGTTAATAAGTTTATTATTTCAAAGCTTTCAATTCTAAACATTGGTTAGTAGCTAAACCAATAGAGTTTATCTTTAAAACAATAGCATATGCTCGCGTATATTCACTTCCCCCCCTTTTGAGAATTAGGGCTTTCAGGTGAAATGGTGATAGTCTACGCCGGGCCAGAGATGGAGGAGGCGGAACGGAAGTTACACAGGCATGCCCTTATTTTTTTCTTCTGGAGGAACTCCGGCATCACCATAACCTGCGATCTTGTCAAGGAGTGGATCAATGCGACAATCGGCATCAAAACAGAGGCAATTCTTTTGTGTCGCGACCAGGGTAATGGCTTCTTTCTTGTCTACTTCGATCGGAAGCGTTCCCGCGACCTAGTCCTCGCAACGACGGCCCGGCCGATCGGGATTGCCGTGAAAGCTTGCAGCTTCCCGTGGTGCGCCGCCGCAGTCAACGATAAGGGCGAGGAGTGCTGGCCACGGATGTTGGAGCTTTCGGGGCTTCCGGATGTGTGGCTCATGCTTCTAGACGTGATCGGAAACGCGCTGGGGACCTACGTTGGAGTGCTGGATCCGGACACGCCCCGGATAGCCGTCATGCTGCCCGTCTCCCGGAGGCTACCATTTCACGTCAAGCTGGAAGTGAGAAAGGGCGTGTTTGTGAGGCAGCCCGTTGTCGAGTTCCGGGAGGATTGCTTCGATCAGGGGCTTCGACGAGGACGACGGGTATCTCACAGAGCACGAAGATCATCATCATAATCAGCCGAGGCATCCGAATCCTCAAGACGGTCGTGATCATCAATCCGGCGGTGCCCCGACTTCTTCTTCAGAGCTCATCCCCGGCCTCGGACACCAGGAAGCCATGCTGTGCCTCGCCAGACTCCCGCGATCCGAGCGCTTGGTCTTCTACACGGTGAGCAAAGCGTTCTATCAACTGGTGCGCAGTGGGAAGCTCGAGAGCTGGAGGCGCAGTGTCGGCGTCGTTATGGAGCGGCATTGTTTTGTTTGCCTCACCACTCCAGGAGGAGGTTGCTGCTGGAAGGGCGTCTGCCTGGATACAGGGAAATGGTGGCCGCTTCCGCCTCGAGCTCAAGACGGTGACGAGCTTTTCGGGAGCGTTATGACTGGAACGCAGCTCCTGGTGCTGGGACGCCACAGCCTGTGGACTTACTGCTTGAGATCTGACAAATGGCTCGCTCCTGCCACCCCTCCTGCGTACGAGTGTGCCTTTGGCAGTAGCGAGCACACAGCATTTGTTGCGGGCGGGATCGACGAGCAAGGCTTTGCTTCCACAGCCGCTGCAGTGTATACAAGCACCACGTCGTCGTGGAAGTTCCTCCCAGACACGAATAAGGCAAGACGATCTTGCTCCGGAGTGTGTATGGACGGGAAGATCTACGTGCTTGGAGGGGTCTCCCAAACAGGCCTGCCAATGTACTGCGGGGAGGAATTCGACCCGGCGCTCAAAAGCTGGACAGTGATCGACAATATGGTGCCTTGGTCTGAGCATCACATGCGCCCTCTCGTCACGGTGCTGGACAACGAGCTGTTTGGTCTGAACACTAGAACTAAGAGCCTCGTGATTTATTGCAAGCGAAGCAATACATGGAAAGCTATTTCCAGAGCTCGGAGTTACGCTGAGCTTCAATACAGAGCGAGGGGTGAGTCCAACAGCTGGGACGTGGCTGGAAATACACTTTTTACTTCTATAAATGGGAGTTTGATCATCATAAATGGAAGGTACACTTTTTACTTTTATAACAGGGAGCTTCATCATTGTCCTGGGAGCCACCGGAGGATGTCCTCCAGCCTCTGCTGGAAGGAGGCAGTGACCAGGAGGACGAGGAGGAGGAAACGCTCCCTGGGCAACGATGGAGATTCCAGGCGGGTTGTGCAAGCTGTGTGCTGTGATGGCTGGATAGTGTTCTGCAAGCTGTGCTGATGGCTGTATAGTCTATCTATTTTTTACTATGCCACTTGTTGGGGTTGTATGGTCACCATGATACACGGAGCGAGAAAAAACAGACTACATTTACCTTTGCCAAATTTCACCAGAAATATATGTATGGTTGTTTTTCTCCTCCATCAGTCATGAATTTCCAATGAAATCTATATTGTTTTATTACTGTTAGAAACCGCTTTTGGAAATTAATGTGAAACCACATCTAAAACTATGCAAATATTGCCAAGAGATATTATAGTGAGGGAAATCTACAAACTTCCCTTGATAAACTCTTAGTAGAAAGAATGTACGTATGATCAAAATGCATATGTGCTATCTAGTGTGTTTGTTTATCTCTGGCCTACCACTAGAAATGTGATGTCTAAGGGAAAAAAAAAAAAAAACAAAGTAAACACCAAGTTTGAACATTATATTAGTAATACTTTACTGTGAAATAAGTTTTAATATAGCCATTAACTTCAAGTGAGAAGATCTTTTTTAGTAATGCATAACATACATTTCCTGAGAACCAAAAATATAGAACATAATGGAAGTTATATAGTTTTAATATACCTGGATTATTCATATCTATCACCACACATTTGTATTTGCTTTAGAGATGGAGCCATTCATACAAGAACTTCCATATGAAGTGATGCTTTCATCTATTATGTTTAGTGAGTTCCCATCTTTGAAACCAAACACACTTTTTAAGGTGAGGATCCATATCTACTTTATTGTTGCCAGAACTTGATTGTGAGAGCAAAACAACAATACCTCAATCTATAGAAATATCTCTTTGTGTTGTTTTTAGTGCAACAAAGTAGAATCCTAAGATTTTCTTCAGTCTCTCTAGTGGTAGTATCTCATCCTTAAGGTAGCAACTAAATGGTTGTGAAAAATGATCTATAGAAAAGTAAGATAAGTGGAATAATAATAACAATAGTAGTATAGAAATAAAAAATATTGATTTGTTAGGAGACATTTAGTGTTGGTGGAGTGTGGAAGGACATTGATATTTTAGCCAAGTAGGAAACTTAGAAGGATTAAGAGAATGGTGTTAAAAACATTCAAACTAACGTTTAAACTTTAGAGCTCAATGGTACATGAGTCTATTTTAGAAAAATACAATAGAATATAGAGATTCAAGGAAAGTCATTATTACCAAAGCTCACAGAGGTATGTATTTTTGAAAACACACTTTTATAAGTATATAGTTTTCTCATTGAATTTTAAAATTTTTTTTTGCAAGCTCAATATTGGATGCATATATCATTGAACCAATACATGCTCTTACACTTAATAATTACAAGAAAATTAGCAAGGAAGTTTTTGGAGCCTAGAAAAAAACTAAAGTAGAAGCTACAGGTTAAGTTTCCTTATCATGGTATGCTTCATATCAATCAATGTAATAATACAATTAAAGCTCATATCTATAATTACAACAATGTTTTGTGAATATACCTATAGTATTTATATTGGAGTATAATTTGGGATAAGGCCATCTCATTAACAACTTCATTTATGAAGAGTGTGGAAATTTCTAGGTATATAGTGTTGAAAGTGTGTTCCAGACTTTGTATGATATCCCAATCAATAGCATAGTTATGAAAATAATATGGTTGAAACATTATATAAAATGTATATTGATTTTTTGTATGATTTATATTACTTAAACTACCACTATTTTTCACACATTTATTATGTTTAAACTCTCACCTCTCTAAAGTGTAACGCATGTGATCATAAAATGAGATTTGGATACATTGTCATCATAAATTCTTAGAACCTTGAGGGATATATGAAGTGTTTTTTATTAAAGTAATTGCCCCTTTTTCAGATGGCTTAAGGGAAGAAGATGGTATAAATACAATTTCTATTGATTAGTGGCTATTTATAAATATAATATACCTTTGAGTAATGTATGTATAGGGCATCTTATATTGTTAAGAAAATATTGCTCTTAAATATAAATGACAATTACAAAATTTAAAAAAATAATGGTTTTTTTATCCATAATAGAACAAGTCACAACTCTTAGTATTTCTAAATTTGGATTATCTCCAAGTTTTTTGCATATACTACAATAAGTAACAAGTATTAGTGGGGGACAAAAAACAAGATAACTTACCAGCATTGAGTTAGTCTTTAAGTGGTTAGAAGTAATCATAATAGCAACAAAAACCCTTGCAAGCCAATGGAATCCCTCCCAATTGCATCACCCTCATCGAGATCATCCCAACCTGCACAACTCTCCACTCCATCCACTTGGGCAATTGTATCCACGAGTGGAACATTGGTTTGGGCCTTCACTGAGACTCTACCCTTGGCACCATACTCGGTTTTACTTCCAGTTTTAGTTCTAGGAGATCTTTTATTTCCAATTCTAGTTAAAGGCATTTTAGTTTTCAAGCTAGTCATCTTGGGATTTGAGTGAGCTCTGAAATGAGAGTTCAGCCATCATCCAGGGGAAGAGTATGAGGAGGAGCTCGCAAACTCAGTATCAAGGAAGAACTAAGGAAGAAACATGCTCTCAATTGGATAAGAGGCTTTGATTGAGCTCAAAGCTATGGAGTGTGCAAAATGGAGGGTTATGACTTGACAAAAGAAAAATTCTAGATAGTGTTCATAATATGCAAGTATGGCAAAAGTCTACTATTCGACAGCAAATAGAGTCTTGTTTGGTGTTGCAAGAACCAGAAATTAATGTGACTGGCCATGACATCCAGCCTTAGATAAAGCATATCAACTTAAAGCTTTTATGATGACACCATTCTTATGATAAAAGTCTTTTATGTAGCTTCTCACTTTCATTTTCTAGAGTTATCATTATCCTTTGGTAAGAAGGAATTCAATAAGCAACACCATTGAGTTTGAGTTATTGTGGAGCGGTGTTTTGGACTCTTGAAGTAAAAATTCAAGTGTCTTGTCTCTTGATTATGAATGAAATCAACATGTTTACCAAACGTCATGAAAGCATGTTGTGTTTTACACAACCTTCTGATAGACCTTGAAGATGCAGATACAAATGGAAAACTCATGGCACTTGAGCACAAGATGACGCAAAGAGAGGAGAATAGAGAGCATATTGAATATGGAGATCCTCAACATGCTCATACTGAACCAGACGAAAATCTGATAACACCTACTGGAATTGAAGTACAAGACACTCTAGTGCTGTACCTTTGTAGTATTTGAAAGATCTGAATAATATTATCTATTCACCTTTCTTTCAATTACAATGATTTGTATTTTATTAAGACTCTGGAAACTTAATCTTGTAGGCAAATCTGTGAGCTATTGCTTTTGTTGTCTCTAGAATGATCTCGTGCACTATAGCCTCTCCAAACGCAAACTGCTCAGCAAGCTCATTGTAGTTGAGGTTCTTCATTAGCTTATAGAGCATGACTGCAAGGTGAATGGGAACCAGAACCAAATGCCTATAGTGTGTGTTCTGCTTTTCCATGTCACTCTTGATTTTCAACTTCCACTTCCAGTGTGAGTCATCATAGGTGTCGAGCATGAAAAAGTCCCACCACACAAAGCTCCTTGGCTTCACCCACCATAAACCAAGATTCCTGTATATGGGCAGCTGCAAATGAGCAGTTAGTAGCCTAATATGTAGCTCATAATGCACTTGCATTGCCTAACCACATAACAATCCTCCATTGCACCTAGTCACTAACTCTTTCCACATAAGAAAGTTAAGATGAAAAACCACTTGCAATGTGGTACAAATATGAAAGACTTTTGAAGTGAAGAAAAGGTTGATCATTTTTGGCTGTCCTTTATAGAATTGTAGGTGCTGGTCAATAGAAGTGTGCCACGTGATATGTTAATACTACCAAGATTGCTATGCAACAATTAAAAAGTTTTGAGCACTAATCTGCAAAAAATTTTTCATCTTCTTTAGTGTAATTCACAAGAGGCTATTAACTAAGAGAATCCGAGGTCAGGATAGAGCCATCAATCTCTTCCATAGCAATTCTCTATATCTCTAGAAGGTCCACCAGCAGCTCAATAAAGTTCTTTTCCTTTAATTTAAAGTATGAGCTTGTTTCTCTCTAAAATTACTATACCCTTCTTATCCTCTAAGATTTCTGCCTAATCAATCTTCCCAACAAGTTAGTAAGTTGTTCTAACAACCTAGTAATCCTTTAAATCAAAATATTTAGGCTTGCCAATGTCCCAAAGATCTAAATCTTGTGTAAGAAGAGAAGGAATCCATTATTGTTAAATGAGGTTGTGGTTTTAAAGTTCTCTCATGTAAATGATAAGAGAAAAAATATAAATATAAGCAATAAAAAAGAACAACTTGAGAAATAATCCATTAGAGAATACAGAGTAAAGAGAAGACAAATACATGACATAATTGGTCTAACCAGAAATCCTTTTTAATGCTTCAAACTCAAAAACAAGAGATTGTAGCCTACCTTCTGCCATATGATACATAACTTATATAGCTTCTTGTCATTAACTTCACAACATTGCACAATTGATTGTTGAATTGTTGTAAAACTATATCCAAACTTATGAGCAATTTCTTCAAAGTTAGTATTAATTCTCAACCTAGTCAAAGCAATTGAAAGCTTTGTCTTTAAAGGGATTATTTTCCTGAATCTGTTTATATACAACTATGAAAATCAAATGTAGAAGACACACACTTACTAGCACTGTAAAAATGCCTTAAAGTGTGATCCATGAAAGCAGTAGACTTTTCGTATGACCAAACCTTCGGCAAAGCTCTTCCTTTCTTCTTCTTTGCAACCTCAATAGCTGCTTCTGACTTCTCAAATTATAACTTTGCCATCAAGATATTAGTATTGTTGAATCAGCATAAATTTACTCTCTAATGGATTCACTCTTTCTAAAAAACTCTCTCAACACATCCACTGAAGTTCGGGACGGTTCGGAAAATTCCGAACCTTAGCCTACTTTTCAATTGCCATATCCATTCGCTGCAAGCTGTGCATTGTGATGAATTGAATAATTTCTCTTCT